TCCCAGTCTTCAAGAAAGGCGAGAAGTCCTCTTGTGATAACCACAGAGGAATCAGCCTGACAAACATAGTGTCTAAGATCCTAAGTTCTATAATTCTCCGACGCCTGAGTGGAGCTCGGGAACAGCAAGCCCGAGAAAACCAGGCAGGCTTTAGACCTGGCCGTGGATGTATCGACCAAATATTCACACTGCGCCAGGTCCTGGAACATAGGCATGCTTACAGACGCCCGACAATAGCTGTATTTCTCGACCTGAAGGCGGCATTTGACTCCGTTGATCGAGAAGTCTTATGGCAGTGTCTGTCACTGAAAGGCGTGCCTAGTAAGTACATCACCTTATTGAAAGCTCTCTACTCGAACACTTGTGGGCATGTTAGAGCCTATGGTGAGTTGTCCAGGGAGCTATACTCATCAAGTGGTGTCCGTCAAGGATGCCCACTATCCCCATTCTTATTTAATTTTATCATAGATATTCTTATGGAGGTTTCCCTCTCGTCACCTAATTACAAAGACGTTGACCGGATCACAGGTGAATTTTCCTTAGATCTAGAATATGCAGATGACATAGTCCTGTTAGGTGAAGACGCTGACAAGATGCAGAGTCTTCTGAACACTTTGAGTGGGAATTTGAGAATGTTTGGGATGCGATTTTCACCACCCAAATGCAAATTTTTGCTCCAGGACTGGTCTTCAGCGGTACCGCGGTTAACAATAGAGAGTGAAGTGGTTGAGTGTGTTGACCACTTCACTTACCTGGGAAGTAGGATCAACCCGGTGGGTTAGTTGCCGATGAGATTTCTGCACGGATACAAAAGGCTCGATTGGCTTTTGCCAATTTGCGCCACCTATGGCGCCGCCGTGATATTCGTTTGTCTATTAAGGGTCGCGTGTACTGCACAGCAGTCCGCTCTGTTCTACTGTATGGCTGTGAAACATGGCCATTGAAAGTGGAAGACATGAGAAGGTTACAGGTATTTGACCACCGTTGCCTTCGTAGTATAGGACGTATTCCGTGGTGTCACCATGTGAGTAATGCAGAAGTTAGGTGTAGAGTTTTAGGGAGAAGAGGTAAGTCAGTCGACGAGGTTGTGAACCTTCATCGACTGAGATGGTTGGGACACGTACTACGTATGCCTAGTCACCGATTGCCTCGTCACACAATGTTGGCTGAGGTGGGTTCAGGCTGGAAAAAGGCCCGAGGTGGCCAGACTAAAACATGGCACCAATGTATGAAGTCTCTGACTGTTGGTTTAAGCCATGTAGGACGATGCAGACTAGGTGGTTGGGGTCCACGGGACAAGAGGAACCAGTGGTTGGAGACCCTAGGTGATATGGCTCAGAACCGAAGTCAGTGGCGCAGATGTATACACACATTATCCTCATCTTAACAACGCTATACCGAATCTCACTATTTTGTCACTCCTCTTTCCTTTCTTCTCATACTTTATATTTCTTTTGACTGCATTCACTTATCTTCATCCTTCACCTCACTACCTTTTTACTTGATGTGCTGATATGAGGTGTGGCAACTCGGACCGTTACGCAGTAATGCCTGGTCCTATGTTGATAATGATGATGATGATGACCCTTCTCGAACATTTAAATAACTATACTAGTTAAGCTAACGGGACGATAATTCAGTCCCAGTTCCCTACTGTCCACCTTGAAAACTCGGCTGATTATAGCATCTTTCCAGTCATCCAGAAGCTGAGTCTGTCACAGAGACATATTGAATAGCTCAGCAAGCAATCTGGCAGTAATGTAAACTAATAGAGATAGTAACCGTGGATGTAAGTCGTCACGACCATAGTTGCTGAGTAACCGAAGGAGTACCGTTCTTATGACGTGCACTAGGCACATTGTTTGGAAATTTTCGGGGATACTGATAGGAGTAATAACATTTCCGTTGACTGAAGTAATCCGAGTCACATTCAACGTGGAAAAGATTTGACCCAAATAAGAAAAGTATTTTTAGGTGTAGACTATTCGACCACGTTAATGGACACTTTAATGATTTCTTTCTAAATGAACAGTTTCGGAGAGGAGGAATAAATAAGAAACGTTAGGAGTTAATTCATTCCCAAGCTTACAGTAAAGGGGAGGAAAGAGAAAATTAAGTCATTAGTTAGTGGCTTAATTATTCGAGTCGCAGTAGGCTAAAATAATATCACCCCGTCATCCTACGATAAGATCAAGAAGAAACGTAATCACTTCGGTTTTTCTTCATAAGAGAGCTTGAAGAGCTATGTAATCATCTTGGTGCCCATATTCTGCATGTAACCTAAAATATCAGCTTTGTACTTTAAATGAGCTCGTTGTTCAAATCTTATATTCCGAATAAGGTATAAGAATCAAAACATGTCTGTAAAGCTCTGAAAGGTCTTTGACATAAATAAAAGTATTTGAAAACCTTTGTTCGTTGCTACCATGCAGTTTTCTGACATTTCAAGCCCGTGAATATCTATGAGACCTAAGTTTTTGTGTCTAACTACTCTGGACAGCAGTATGTCGTTAATTAAGTAGTTATGTTGATCATTGTGATCTGTTCGCATTGGTATGCTCTTGATTTCTAGGTACTACCATTCCATGGACTCATTTACAAGAGTTATTAGGGCATCCTGTGGGAGCAGCCTGTTCTTATGCTTGAATAATTTCAGAATTTAACATCATCCCCAAACATGTGGATGGCAGACCTAGTCCTCTTGGGCAACGCATCCACATAGAGTAGGAATGTAGTTGATCTAAGGAAGTACCTAGAGGGACTTTACTCTTGTGCCTGTGTTCCAGAACCTGGTGAAGTGTGAACATGTAGCGGATACACCCACGAATAAGTCTGAAGCCTGCCTGGTTTCCTCGCGTTTACTGTTCCCGGGCTCCACTCAAACGTCTAATAATTATAGAACCTAGAATCTTAGACACTATGTTTTTCAAGTTAAGTCTCCTGTGGATTTCTCCCCCTTTATTGAAGACCGGATCAATTAGTCAGAAAGGATCATATCTGACTCCCATACGCTAGCTAAAACTTCAGCTAACTTGTTGAATAATCCTTTACTGTCATCGTTAAATTCCTCTAATACTAGTCCGTCTGGCCTACTTCCCTTCCTCATTTCATATTGCTTACAGCTTCTCCGACTTTGCAAGCTTTAGGGGCCCTGTCTGAATGTTATTTACAGGATCCGACTGGACAGCGGGAAACAATGGTAGCTGGAGGCTGGTTTAACTGTTTCTCAAAGTGTTCTATCCATCATTCCAGTCATCTCAGCTGCGAGTAAATCGCAGACCCATCTTTCCGTATAATCTCTCCACCCATTCCGCCTTTTTTCTCGAGCTCCCTTGATAATTCTTAATAGCTACCTAGTGTTACCTATCGTCGCTGCCTTTTCTATCTTCTTAACCTTCACCGCCCATGATCATTGTGTAAGCCTCTTGTTAATCTACACTCCAGTTGCTTTCGCTCCTCATTGTGTTCAGAACCTGTAGGAATGCGCTCATATGCATCCATTGTTTCTGAAACTACTGAAACCCATTGTTCTCTTTTAGTCGCTTCTTGAGAGCCAGTTACGATCTTTAATGCTGTATTTAACGCAGGCTGAAAATGGCACCGAGCTTCTTCTGGACGACTGACATTCTGTTCCGATAACTGTCTAACCAGTTTCCTGCAGAAAACAACCTTAGTATTCTCATCATCAAGCTACTTTCGCAATTGTCTTGTTGCTGTAGTTTTCCTACATTCATCTTAACGCTTAGATATGTGATCAATGTCTGAACATGTGCTTCAGAGGGAGCAATCTTCCACTGGCTCTCCTGTGATAACTACTAATAGTATGGTCTGTCTGTCCACCATTGAGTTAAGGCTGGTGAACGCCATATCAGAAATTGTCTCCCTTTGTATCTGAATTTCGTCCCAGCCAGAAATGAATGGTTATCTGAGCCCGGTTTTAGTGAGCGATCGCCGTTATCTGTTCGTTGGCCTGGTATTCCTCAATATCAGCTGACTTAGGGTTAGACTGAAAAAAGCTGTGTAATCAGAACAAAACATGACATGCATTAATGAAGTCTACTTGTTGATCTAACCGGTGTAAAAAAATGTGGGCTTCCAGGTTGAGTTTTTTGAGTCAGCTGAAGTTGATTGTTAAAGATCAAATGGTATGGTTCAGAACCAATAGCAGTAGTGCAGATTCACGGATTTGTTATCTCGCTTGTATTAGTATGTTTCGTTATTTGCTTTAACTTGTGTCGTTTGTAGCATAGTACATAAAATGAGTATGGAAGTGACCTGCAGTTGATTGACCAACCTGGTCTTTGTTGTATAACTTTCTATGACATTTGACTGTATTTTTCCATTTCGTTGTGTTTCATATAGAGTTGCATTATACCGTCATATGGTGATATAAAGTGTTGCAGCTTCAATTGCTACGTAGTAATTCCGATTCCTATGATGATAATAACTGAGTGTAAATTCTACCTTTACTGGTTATTTACCCAGCTAATTAAAGATATATTCTCTACTAGTAAATGGTTTATCCATAAGCTCTTTTGGACCAACTTTTATTTCATAGCGTACTTTAATTTATACTTGTTCTCACCGTTATCTATTAGAGTGAAACAACCCAATGAAACTTGATTTAGAGTTTTCGGGCGGAGCGGAGCTTCTCTTCAACAAACAAAAAGAACATCAAGTCGATTTACCGGCGACAGTAGTACGATTAGGTGATCTGCTTCTTTGGCTGGAGAAAAATCTTTTGCAAGAACGACCGGAACTTTTCTTACAAGGAAAAAGTGTTCGACCTGGAATCCTCATACTCATCAATGATATGGATTACAGTTTATTGGGCGAAAATGAATACATCTTGAAAGAGAGGGACAAAATTATTTTTATATCTTCATTACATGGGGGCTAAAAATCTCAGTAAAATATTCTGTACATATTAATAACATTTTCATGAAGATCATTTGTATGGGAGAATCTCCCAAGTATTTTATTATGCATCCTTGTGGATATCATTTTTCTTTTTTTCTTTGCGGCGTTAATTTCCACAAGTCAAAAATACTATAGTTTTCTGGTAAGCGTTCAACAGCAAGACCCAGATCTTCATTATATACTGGTTCCCTATCTGTTAATTTGGTTGCGTCCGCCAGGTAGGTCTTCATAAGGAAGGAAAAAGGAGAGGTCCATAATAATTTTTGATGTGGAATGTATCATGTAAATGCTTTTTCAACTAGGGTATGAAAAACTGTAGTCACATTATGAGTGAAGCTGTAATGGCTAAGAGGGATGGATATTGTTTTCGGAAATTCAGCCATGAATGACAGCCGTCATTCAGACCACAACTGTTGAGTTACGAGTGTGAAGTCGCCCATTTGGTACGATGATGTGCTACTGTAAGTAATTATCAAAATGATTTTTTTACAGCTAAGCACGTAAACTTGTATTTGGTAATTGAGTTTCACTCAGTTCTGGTTTTGAACTTGAGGACAAAAGTGGATAACCTCAGCAACCAGGTGCACGTTTATGTACTCGGACTCGAACACAGTACCCATCACTCCAGACGCCAGTGTTATTTACTGGGGCGTGAGAGCCACTCTTCATTAATTTGAGCGGCTATCACAAGTATGTTCAGGATCAGTATGTTAATTAAATTCAGTGACATGGAACTTTTAAAATTGTTGCGATTAAAGAACATGTTTAAGTTAGGTGGAAGCAGTATGTTGCGTATGTCATTGTGCAGTAAATTCAGAAGTGAGATCTTTTAATAGTGATTAAATTTCGAATCTAAGCGATAGACATTACTCGACGTCAGTCATAAAAGCTCAGGTGTGTAAACTTTCGCATGTTTTAAGGTCTTAGAAGTTTTACTAGCCTTCATTGAATTATACAGTCTCATGTCATACACTTGTTTTTACCTCGTTATTATCTTCTTCTTACAATGCTGTCTCCCACTTCAACTCCCTTCCGTTCATATCTTATTCGTCTACCTATCGATTTCAATAAAATTAACCTTTTTCACAACCATCTTTATTGTAATCATGAATATCCTCTAGTAAATCTTTTTCGCAACAATAAGAATTTGAACAACTGTATATTTTCGTTAATATCTCACATCAGACTTTACCTTCAAATACAATATTTCACATATCGATCGGTTAGTTACATAAACGCGAATATTGACAATCGCTTGTACAACTAACCAGTTTTTCAATTCATCAATATCAACACAGGACCAGGCATTGCTGCGTAACGGTCCGAGTTGCCACATCTCATATCACTACATCAAGTAGAAAGACAGTGAGGCACAAGATGAAGATAAGAGAATGCAGTCAGAAGAAATATAAAGTACTAAAAGAGAAACGAAGAATGAGAAAGTGGTGAAATTCGGTATAGCGTCGTTAAGATGAGGATAATGTCTGTGTCTACATCTGCCCCACTGACATCGGTTCTGAGCCATGTGATCACCTAGAGTCTCCAACCACTGGTTTCTCATGTCTCGCCGACCCCAAACACCTAGTCTGCATCGCCCCACATGGCTCAAATCAACAGTCAGAGACTTCATCCATTGGTGCCATGTTTTAGTCTGGCCACCTCGGGCCTTTTTCCAGCCTGAACCTACTTCAGCCAATGTTGTGTGACGAGGTCATCGGTGGCTAGGTATACGCATCACATGCCCCAACACATCTCAGTCGATGAAAGTTCACAACCGTATCAACTGGTTTACCTCTACTCCCTTGAACTCTACACCTGACTTCTGGGTTACTCACGCGGTGACACCACGGAATACGGCCTATACTACGAAGGCAACGGTGGTCAAACACCTGAAGCCAACCTTCTCATTCCTTCCACCTTCAATGGTCATGTTTCACAGCCATACAGTAGGACAGAGTGGACTGCTGTGTAGTACACTCGACCCTTATTAGACAATGGGATATCATGGCAGCGCTACAGGTGGCGAAAGTCAATCGAGCCTTTTGTATTCGTGCAGAGATTTCATCGGCCACTGAGCCATCAGGGCTGATCCTACTTCCCAGGTTAGTGAAGTGGTCAACACACTCAACCACTTCACTCTCTATTGTTAGCCGCGGCGAGGCACCGTTGAAGACCAATCCTGGAGCAACAATTTGCATTTGGATGGTGAGAAACGCATCCCAAACATTCTCAAATTAACACTCAAAGTGTCCAGAAGACTCTGCATCTTGTCAACGTCTTCACCTAACAGGACTATGCCATCTGCGTATTTTAGGTCTAACGAAAATTCTCCTGTGATTAGGTCAACCTCTGTGTAGTCAGGTGACGAGAGTGAGACCTTCATGAGGGTATCTACGATAAAATTGAATAAGAATGGAGACAGTAGGCAGTCTTGACGGACACAACTCGATGAGCATAACTCTACCGGACATCTCACCATAGGCTCTAACACGCCAACAAGTGTTCGAGTAGAGAGCCTTCAATAAGGTGATGTAATTACTCGGCACGCCTTTCAGTGAGAGACATTGCCATAATACTTCTCGATCAACGGAGTTGAATGCCGCCTTCAGGTCGAGAAATGCAACTAGTGTCGGGCATCGATAAGCGTGCCTATGTTCCAAAACCTGGGGCACTGTGAATATTTGGTCGATACACCCATGGCCGGGTCTAAAGCCTGCCTGGTTTTCTCGGGCTTGCTGTTCCCGAGCTCCACTCAGGCGTCGAAGAATTATAGAGCCTAGAATCTTAGACGCTATGTTCGTCAGGTTGATTTCTCTGTGGTTATCACAAGAGGACTTCTCACCTTTCTTGAAGACTAGAATAATCAGTGATTCAGACCAGTCAGATGGGATCGTATTTGATTCCCATATACTGGTTAACACTTCCGTCAACCTGACTAAGAGCATTCTACCACCATCCTTGTATACCTCAGGAGTTAATCCGTCTGGTCCTTCCTCGTTTCAGGTTACCTACTGCTTTCTCGACTTCTGCAAGTGTTAGGAGGCCTATCTCAATGTTCCATTCAGGATCCGACTGGGTAGTGGGGCAGCGCAATGGTGGCTGGAGGCCAGTTAAACTGCTCCCCGAAGTGTTCTGCCCATCGTTCCAGTCGTCTCCCCTGCGGGTGAATCACAGATCCTTCCTTCTCCGCTATGGTCTCACTAACCGCAGTCGGCCTTTTTCCCCCAGTTCCTCAATAAGTCTAAATAACTGTCTACTGTTACCAATCGTCGCTGCCTTTTCCATCTCATTAGCCTTCATTACCCACCACTGTTCGCGGTCGTCTGCTGACATACACTGGCTCCTTTTAGCCATTATTCCGGAGTCGACTACGGCCTTCAGCGCTGCTTTTACAACAGACTGGAGATGGCACCAAGCGTCTTCTGGATGAGTGATAGTCTTCTGTTCTAATAACTGCCTACCCAACTTCTCACTGAACACGGCTTTAGTGCTTTCTAAAAATTTAAAGCAACTGGTCCCTTTGATAAATTTAAACAGCGTAATGAGAAGACGAAGACATGAAAACAGCCTTTAAAGTACTACATAAAAGTGGTCAGAGCCGAGTGCTTAAATTTATTGAAGCTCTTGCCATCCGTAAATTTAAACCCCCTTTATGTATACAAAAACAATTTGTACTCACGTTGAACCTACCTTGGTAGTATTGATTTTAATTTTCATACCAAGAATGTTTTTCTTTTCCTTTTCTATCCCTTCCTATTCCTATGTTTCCTATTAACTTCATTGACCTTTTCGTAAATTTTCATATAAATAGTTCGACAAGTCCATGTGTGATCAGATTGTTCGAAATGTATAGCGCTAATACATCACATGTTTCAGATAATCTTCGTCTTCTCATTACGCTGTTTAAATTTAGTGCTTTCGTTGTCCAGCTGCACTCGTGATGGTTTTGTTGCCAAATGTTTCTTACGTCCATTGAGATGCAGGTATATACTTGCTCGGAACAACGCCTGGTAGCTATCCAAACACGTACTCCAGAACGAACGGCAGTCTTCCACCGATCCTCTCCAGCGATGACTAATAGCAATGTGGTCTGTGGCCTTCGCTGAGTTGAGCTCGGTGAACTCCACGTCAGACAATGTCTTTCTTTGTATCTGAAATTTGTGCTAACTAAAAATAAGCGGTTATCCGAGCACAGCTGTAGTAGGCGATCACCGTTATCTGTACGTTCAGACGGGATTCCGAAAGTCCCACCCAAGTGCCTTTCTGCCTCACTCAGTCTACCCACATGTGCAAGGGAAAGATCAACATTAAATCAGTTTAGTACAGAATGCGTACCAATTGGTTGAGTCATTTTTGTTTCGAAATTATGTGAATTTCATCTTTATGGATGACAACGGAAGGACAAGAGAATATTAGCAATGTTGTACACACAAATCTTAAGTTTCATGATTTTTATTGAAATAGCTTCAGCAGTTTGAAGCGGATGAACACTTACTTCCTGTGGCATTCGATCCGAAATCTTATGGGTCGCTAAATGTGTACATTGTTGAAGTGACCGAGTGGATAATAATCAATACACGAGACGATAAATAAAGCAATGAAATACTTGGACTGAATACAAATAGCAACTGTTCTTCCTCAGATCTGACGCATCACTGAGCCGCAAAAATCAAAAGACAAAGACTAGCCTGTGACTGTAATCAAGACAACTTTTATTTGACAAAAAACACATCACTTACAGTTTTTCCTTAGAAAATAAAGCCACTAGATCAGAAGTTTGATACCTATTTTCATTGGTCAGTCGAAGGGCAAAATTGTTCAATAAGGCTTTTCCGCTCACATAGTAACATGAAACTAAGGCTGTAGTCCAAAACTTCTACCTTGGCAGCTGAGGACTTAGAATGCTGATTTCGATTTAGGTCGCTTCGTATCAATTGTCACCAGTGCCAATTAAGTGGGACTGAATAAAACTTGGGATTCTGTTTACTTTCTCCTTCTAATTAGCCATACCGGATAATACTTTTGTCGCTTTGGATAATAAGACGAAGGTAAATGAATTACAAATAGGTTTCAACAGATCATATCTGTGGGTAAAATTCTCCCAAAGTTTGGAAACTTCGAGCAAAATCTTTCCCCTAGATATCACCACGACTACATCAGAAGGAGAAGTCACCAGAAATGTTTACCGCAAACCATCTTAGATTGGACATTATACACACTTCTGTAGTTTTATTGTATTATAGTAGGAAAACGACTTGGTTAAATGTCTGTTTGAAAAGATGAAGATAGTTTTCTTTGATGCTACGACTGAGTGTTACAGATTTTGACAAACGGACAAATGATATCCCGAAAATTTCATTGAGAAGAAAAGGATCGACCAAGTTAGTCATCTTCAGTTTAAAAGCGATAATCTAACCTAAATTGTTGCAAGTGGACTACAATGCTCATTGAAGATGTTTCCTGCATCCACTTTGAGATTAACTTCAGTAACACACGTATCTTACCACCACATATGAAAAATAAGATTTCTCATATGTTAATGTGCAAACGTGGAGTCAGCACTATGATAACTCTTTCACAAAATGCAAAAGAAACTTTTGCCGGCATTCTACTTATCAGGAGGGGAAGGTAAACAGAACTACAAGTTTTATTCAATCCCATCTACTTGGTACTGGTCATAATGTACACATTAAGTCAGCTTTTCCAATGACCCATTAGATACCGAATCAAATATCACAAAACGTAACAGTTCAGTCTCTTCAAACTGCTGAAGCTATCGCAATAAAAATCAGGAAACCTGAGATTTGTGTGTACAACGTCTCAAACATTCTGCTCTCCTTTCGTGACCATCTGTAAAGATGACGCTGACTGACAAAATCAATGTGCTTCGGCTAAAGGTGCCACACTTCACAGCAGTACACAAAGAACAGGAGGATAGAAACAGTAATATCATAGTAGATGAAGTAGTGTAAAATAATAAACAATTTGAAGATAACAGTTAGTGCGAATATTTAGAATGGTTAGAAGATGCTAAGGAGTGAATACATCTGCAATCGATTTTCAACCATATCACCAAGACTCCTTAACCACCGATTTCTTTCGTCTCGTGAACCCCAACCAGGCAGTTTGCATCACCTCACGTGGCTCAGACCATAAAGATGGAATCCACACAGTTCCGGTTCACAAATGACTCAACCAACGTGTACACATTCTGTACTAATCTTATTTAATGTTCATCTCCTTTTTTAATTACACTTTATGTTGGTGTTTCGCTTGACTTAATATCCCATAGTTACCCAATGGCTGTTGTAATTTTTAGTAATTGATAATCCATATACCTCTACCACTGGTTATTTTAAATTTTGTGAAACTGTTACAGAATTCCAATTGAAAAACTGGTTAGTTGTACAAGCGATTGTCAATATTTGCGTTCATGTAACCAACCACTCGACTATGTTCCTTAGTGTGAAATATTGTATTTGAAAATAAAGTGAGATGAGATATTAACGGGAATACATGTTTCCAAATATTCCTCATCTTTTCGGCTTTATCATAAGGATATTGATTCTATTGAAACTGAAGAAGCATTATCTTTACAAAAAGCTGTGTTGATGATTTTGGTCGTGGAATGATACCAGTTATCTTCCCTAGCGTAGTCGTGCTATTTTTTATCGGTCAACAAAAGAAATTTTATGTGGCGGTTGGGTATGTCTAGTACTTACTGATAGGATATCACAGTTATCTTCTACAATCTGATCTCTAAATTCATCTGTTTGTTCACTTATGCTCTCTACCTGTAACTGAAACATAAAAATTGAATATCAGATAGTTACATCGAATGCCAAATAATTTAAATGTATTTTTTAGAAACAGAAATAAATGAACAATAATCAGTTTTTTTAATTGGAAATGTACTTTAGTATTCGTGTCACTTAAAGAATTTGAGTGAAAATGACTAACAAAATTAGTCGCTAGTCTCTAATATGCTTGTTTGGTTTAATCACTGGCTTCATTCATTGAGTGAGATTACTCCCTAAACAGTGACTTTGGTGCCTTAGACATGTTTTACGAGTACCATCTCAGTGGCTCGCATACCGTTCACTTATTTTGGCACTGATCAGAAGAGGTAAAGTAGTGGTCAGTGTATGATCTAACACCGAAGCATGAAGGTTATCATCTGTAGGTACCTCCCGACTCTTTAGATGGAGCCCAGGAAGTTATGTAGATCAGTGACTTGAGACAATGGTAGATGACAAGACTCGGGATCGAAATTACTATCATGCTTCAGCTTTCTTGCTTTTTTCACTACTGAGAAGTTAAACAATGGTAGTTGGTGTGTCTTTGGAATTGCTTATCTAGTAACTAATTTTCTTTCTTCCCCTTCCTCTTTTATCTTCTTCGTACTATTTTATTATTTTGTATGGCACATGTCTTGGTAATCGTGTTTTACTTAGTTTTTTATGCGAATAAATAGAATAATAAGCCTTCATGTCTTAGGCAGTTACTAATACATTTGTAATACGAAGAGGTGGACCTCATTATTTAACTCCAGAGTAGCACAATAATTTAAGGATGGCATACTACTATAGTAGATCTGTAAATGTGTGGTAAGAAAGATACGTAACTTACGTGAAAGGTAATGCTATGCATAAAGTAGTGAGTTGCCTAAGACATTGATAGGAACACTAAATGTGTCCGAATTATTGCTATAGATTTTGAACCAGTTGACTAGAAGTCTCAAACCGATTTTCAGTGTATGGAGGACGCTAGTTGGGTTCACTTTTTCCTAGGGTGCCCAAACCTGATCATCAGCTAGTATTTCTATTCAGGGCCGATGATTACTTGGTACGCATAAAGTAGATCATGTCCTCCTTAGTTTGTCTAGGTTAGCAATTTGATCGACTGATTTTTCTTCATTGTCTAGACCATAAATCCTAATATATACCCGTATGTAAGCAACAAGTGAAGGGTGTGAATACCTGTGACTGTACTTTTTAGATGACATCTCTCATAACTTAATGCTTCTCAGTGTACTTTCCATTTGATAGTTAGTCGAATGTCTCGATGCAATTTATAAGGTCATCAAAACTTTGCGAGCATTTCATCGACAGTGTCTACCTTCAACAATGCAACCTAACTTAACCGGTCTATGATTATGTGACAGACAAAAAAATTGCATTTCAGAACCTAAGTATATTCGATACAAAACAAGCGATTCAGAAAATGGAGGAATTGTGTATTGATCTAGTTTAGCTAGTCAATATGCATTCCAGAAGTTGATGATTAAACCTTCTGTTATGGCTTACAAAATTTTGGTTGATGCACAACTCTCTCATAAACAAGGAATCAGGTTTTGATCATTATTTCAAGTGGAAAGTAATTACTGTTTTTAGATGGATGATTTTCATGAAAAGTCTTCAGTCTATTCATTTTAAAAGTGAAATGAAGTCTATACATCAGTACCATGCTGTTGATCAGCTTTTCAGGGAACTGACACCTAATGCAAAGTTTTAAGGGTATCAGTTGTGAGAATGAAGATCACATTTTACCATTCGCATTAACTGTTTTACAACCTCGAGTAACAATGTAGCAATTACACTTATCGATGATATGAGTACCTCATCATCAATAACAAAAAACTACATGGAGTGAATTATGCTAGCCAGTCGACTGACTTTGATTCTTTGGGAAACTGAAATATAATCCCAGTATATCAGGAGAAAAGGTAGCAAGTATGCATTAAATAGGCGGTTAGTCCCCCAAGAAGCAACTGGTAACGAGTGTGAAAGACATCCCTTGTTCAGCACTTGGACCAACATTGTTTTGACAAAAAATCACATTCACTCAGTTCAATATGTATGAGTCGGCGGATCGAACATTTCACTGCTTATGCGTCTATCCAGCTACGTCTAACACTCTACTAGAAATCTAATAAGTTTCGTATAAGACATAAATATCACGATTATTGGATATTTACACTTTAAGATCCATTATTTATACACGTAAGGGTTGTGGAATATGTTCTAAGTAGCTATCGCTAAGTCCAATTAATAACTTCGACTCTTATGTTTCTTGAGTATTCCCATGGTTCATTGGTTTAGGATGTTGGCTTTCAACTAATGGGTCGCGAGTCCGAACCCCGCGCCACCCACTGAAGTTTCGGCAGTCAGGAGTTATCACTAACCCTTCACTACCTGCTGTACGAATGTTCACAAGGTTGCTTGAGTGGATTTCGACACATTTAAGCGGTCAGAGCGGACCTTTTCATGTTGCACAAGAAATGATACCCCAGCTTACTTTCACAACCAGTGGCTTTTATTCTAACTAGTAAATTTTGGTCATTCGAATTAAATAGTTGAAAAAGTTCAGCGATATCTCGAGAAGCGTGAGAATTATGCATGTGAATTCTTTCTTCTTCAAGTACTGAACAACTTATAATTCTACAGAAGGTATTCTCCAACAAATCCTTCGTCTGACTAACTTCAATATTTACTCATTCTTAGCTGCGTCATCTGTTCAGGAGTTAAATAGTTTGAACGGATGCAATGCTATTATAAGCTTTGTCTATTGTCTTCTAGTGCATCAATGAAGAGCTTATCGCGTCCAAGCTGTATATTATCCCTTATTTAATGTTAGTCATGCCAAAGATAATTAGGAGACATTCTCTTCTCAGATATTGGCACTACTTTGGTCGCAATGAAGTAGAGCAGTTAAACACCGATGGCATCTGAAAAGCAGTGGATTACAGATAGGATATAAAAAATAAAGCAGGGAAATGAACAGCAATAGATGTCTGATCAAGAGTTCAGTTAATACTAAGTTCTATAAACTTACATTCTAACGTATATTAGGAAAGTGGAAACTAGCAAGCCAATACACCTTAGAGCTGGTAATTTACTTGGTTCTGACTAACAGAAGAATCCAAGACGCGCGTTTCTTCCTATTTGGGACTCGTCAGCTGGGTGTACCTGCACCCTAGTGAGTCGTGTTGTTTCCCACTGAGACTCGAGGCTCGTACCATCGCTTCAAATGCCAAAGTGTTATCCACTAGGCTACTGAGGCACGATAATCACAACCAGGTAAATTAACGTAATAAATATTTAGGCAATGTCGAGGTATCTACATAGGAGCCTATATGCCAAGAAAGGTTGAACAATTCGATCCAGCAAAACAACAGAGAATTACAAGGACAACAACAAAAGGTTACACCTTAAAGCTGTTGACTGCCATCGGGTAGTTACTATTTTTGCCTAGTGAAATGCGTGTTATGCACAGATTTTAGTAATATCTGCAAATAAAATAAAGCTGGATTTCCGCCCCAATCCCCTGCTCTCAAACACATGACACTTTCAAGAAATGACAGTTATAATTATATGACTTGCCACTAATTAAGGTATACAAATTGACCATAAAAGTCGGGGAAAAAACTCACCGGTCGAAAAAAATATGTTTCTTTTGAATTAGGTCTCGATCTTTAGCTCTACAATAATACACAGGTTTAAAATTCCGTTGAAATACCAACCAATCGGTGAACAGTAATCATAGAGATTTTAAGTAAGTCATGAAGACGATAATCAAGATGCAAATAATCAACAGAATAGTTATAATGGATAAAAAATGGTAATCATAATAATGTGAAACAGGTTATTCTTCGACAAACGGCACAGCAGCTGATAAAGTAAGCGGAGTGTTTCCTCTTGAGTGGCCAGTCATGAGCAATAAATAATTGCGTAAGAATCAGAAAGCAAATGAATATTGATAGTTAAGAGGGAGAAGAGATGTAGAAAGTAGTACTAGAAGTTACATCTTATTGACGGCCACTGTAATGATGCAAGTTGGCTGAACAAATTTCCCTTGGAATATAAAGGTTACGTTTTGATAGATCAATTGCGACTGCCTCTGGTATATGAACTAGACGAATGTGTAATCCATGTGGTAAGTTAAATAGTAAACGATGACTATTTTTAAATGCTTTGCTAATACCCACTTGATGTTCAGTGCCAACTAAGTGTGCCAGTATGGAGCTCCTAACTGTTCCAATCTGCTCCTTATTCAACCATGGTGAATGATGCTCAGAAATTCGACGATGGACTTGCTTCATCATTTCCAGCTACTGAATTATGTCCCATCTTCTACAACCATTCGATTTTAGGTGAAAGAAATAAAGACAAACTGCCTGATTCTGCCACTTCCATGTACATTTATCAGTTCGACTGCTCCTGTGGAAGCAGTTACATTGGGCGTACGATGAGGCAGATCCATCATCGAATTTCTAAGTATCACCCATCATAGCTGAATAAGGGGCAGATTGGAACAATTACGAACTCCATATTGGCACACTTAGTTGACACTGGACATTAAGTGGATGCTAGCAAAGCATTTAAAAATAGTCATCGTTTACTATTTAACTTACCACATGGATTACACATTCGTCTAGTTCATATACCAGAGGCAGTCGCAATTGATCTATCAAAACGTAACCCTTATATTCCAAAGGAAATTTGTTCAGCCAACTTGCATCATTACAGTGGCCGTCAATAAGATGTAACTTTTAGTATTGCTTTTACACCTCTTACCCCTTCTTGTTTTATAAATATTCCTACGTAATTTACTATTTATGACTTACTTTATCAACTGATGTGCCATTTGTCAAAGAATAACCTGTTTTACATTATTATGATTGCCATTTTTAATCCATTATAACTATTCTGTTGATTATCTGGAACTTGATTTCTCAGAAAGTTATCATCCTCATGACTTACTTCAAATCTATAATTATTGTTTATGGTGTAGAGCCGGAAACGGAGACCTAATTCTATAGGAATTTATCCATTGGATTAATCAGTAATTTTTGTAAATAACGAAATGGGAATTTTCAATATCATAATAGATAGTTAAAATTTTTACAAACCTTTTGTCTCTAGGCCTATGATGGTTATAGTCTGAAGACAGTTTTTAATAATAATAACCATCCTTTTCCGTCATGAGGTGTTTCGAGGCGCTTATGTTCCACATCAGGAGCTTCTAATGTGCACATGACGGCGTCAAAAAACGTTTCTTTAGTGTTTTAAATTGAACACTTAACATGTCATTAAAGATTAACAAACTGTATCGTTTCATACTCGTTTTCCTGTGTGAGAATCTGCTTGAAACCCTAGTCTCATGCTAGTTGATAACATTTATATATGAGAAAATGCTATCTTACTTCTGTTTCTAGAGTGACTTCGACTCCAAGTACAGGGTTTTTCATGTAAAGGTCATGTAAAGTGCTGAGTTGTTTTAGTGTCTTCATCAGACGCTCCTGTGGATCTATCCGAAATCCAAGAAGGTATGACCCAGCCTAAAAATTGAGACATGCAGTATTCAGTTAAAAAATACTGTTATACGTATAGTATGATAACGCAAATAAGCACCAGTAAGACCTAATCGAAATTCAAAGGGTCTGTGATCTTTGTAGGAAATATGAATTGACAGAAGTGAGAAATGTGGACTACTGGATGTTGATCCAGTGGATGAATAGTAACGTGCTGGTCATGGAACCTAGAGGTCCTGAGTTCAAGCCCTGGCGGAGCAAGATCATGGGTAAGCACTGCTGAGAAGTCCCATACTAGGTCGAAACAGCTGTCCAGTGCTTCTAGGTTTCAAATGGTTCTCCAACTGATGTCAGTCCATGATGAATATCAACTTGAGATACGAAAACATTCGATGTGAGACTTGGATATCTGTATTTTAGTGAACAATGCATGAATTGTTAAAAATAACCCACCTAAACTTATTCCATGGGATTCTTGTCTGCAGTTGACCAATGCTCTCAAGTTAAGCCCTTCTAAATGCCAGACTGTTAATTCTAACCTCAGGTATAAACAAGACTTGTGTGAACTGTTTGAATCTCATGACGCCTGTTACAGCATTGATGGTATCTCTGCAGAAAGTAAGTTGAGTGTTAACTATATTGGCTTGAGTTTTACTTCTGACCTTTGTTGGTCGTGTCATATCTTGTTGGCTTGTCAAATAATCTTTCCTCTAACTTATTACATAAAGAAACTGTGGCTCTCTGTTATAACTCAACCTCTTCTTTTACACTTTATTAATTCCTGCGTTCTACCTATTCCTCTGTGTTGTTCTTGGTCTTCTAAAAAAAGACTATGTTATGTTGCGTAGGCCTAGAAAGCCGTCGGTAGGGTGAGTGGTATGCCTCTGACTCAACTGATTAACGGTGTGGTTGGTAGACATTTAAATTCCAACAAGCAACTAGCTACGGTCATTTCTAATGACACTGAGCATCCACTTCATTCACAGCTCTCTCCATGTATCTCCTCAGGGAGGACAAGAAGAAACTACATAAGACTGTACGCTCGTACAGGTAAGTATAAGAATTCTACTATATCTTACCTAGCACGCATATTATGCGAGGAGAAAAGGGTTAGAACAAAATTCACATACCAACTATGTAAAAGTTAACAATCTCATTTCAATAGTTTAATTAGCAATGTCAAATGTTTTTGTCATTAATATCCTTTACATTACTTAAATTCTTATAAAAACACTATTCGAAATGTTGTAAAGTAGTATATACATACACATCTATTGTGTTGTTGTTTCAATATGTCATACTGAGAATTCCAAATTGGACCACAAAATGTTTGGAATAAAGTGAATTAATATTATTATAATGTTTCTTTTCGGGGACTGCATATCGTGGTGTTTCACCAAGGAAAAATGAGCTAATAACTCCCTATCCCGAACGACTTAGTTGGTTCTTTGAAGTTTTTTCATCTTGTTAGTTATATAAATAACCGCACAAGCTGTATAAATATAATGCTATGAAATTATATATATATATATATATATATATATATATATATATATATATATATATATATATATATATATATATATATATATAGGTCCACTATAATACAGATATCTAAGTCTCACATCTAATATTTTCTTATCTCAGGCTGACATCCAACATGGAATGACATCAGTTGGAGAACCACTTGAAACCTGGGAGCACTGGGCAGCTGTTTCGTCCTAGTTTGGGAGTCCTCAGCAAGGCACGCCTATGAACCCGGATGGGATCGAACCCGAAACCTTCAGTTTCCAATGCCAGCACCTTAGCATTCATCCACTGGATCAACATCCAATGGTCTACATTTCTTACTTTTGTCAATTCATTTCTCCCTCAAATAGTAGACAAGATTAACACTTACCTTGATAAATATCGCCAGTTAAGGATTACAGACCCCCTGAATTCCGAATAGGTTTTATCTATGCTTATTCGCTTTTCTGTTACAAGCAAATATCAAAAGCTAGCATTTCAGCATTCGATATTTATTTTTCAGTATACACAATATCCTTTGACTTCAACATTACGTTGGTCTAATAATACAACAAGAAACCTAGAGACACCACACGTATCGTCTAGCTTCGTCGAATGATAGAAGAAAGACGAGAAAAATGAGATTCAGATGATGCACTTAAAAATTTCACTTAATCTTGAACAACCCTAAGATTACACGCTTATCCTATACTAGTTCCAAGCTTGCTTAGCCTTTATTCTTTAAATGTAAATAGCTCGATATAAGCTCAGTTAGTTCAAACAAACCGTGAAGTTAATATGAATCAATAATTTTGTATCATTTACTGTGTCCTCACTAATTTATCAAAAGCTATAAGATACAGAACACCTCCAATAGCCGAAGCTACAACCATTCGATTGAGTTATGTGTATGAAGTAAATAGGAACGATCAGCTTTGGAATCAACAACCAAGTGAGATAATTTATTCTATCATCTAGTAATATATAACATATTATCACACACATAACTGGTTATTTTTGTGTGTTAACGTTTGGCTGTCAAATACAGTTTTACTATTGTCTACTGCATACATTCATCCTTTAGTTAAACAATATGGATATATTTATACTGGGTGGTGATTGAAGGTGAAATGGAAATTTGGACTGCGGCCGGACTCGAGCCAGGGACCACTAAGTTTCTGACCCGGTGCTCTACCAATTGAGCTAAGGGGAGTGACTGCTGACCAGATTTTTATTTCACTCCAATCACCAAGGGTTTTACCCAGTATAAATACTAGTCTGCCAAACCATGGCTACCTCAGTCAAAATGATAATCAATATGGACATATAACTGTAGGGACTGGGGAAGAAGTTATTAAAAGGAATATTCTTTATTCACTAGGCTGTCGTTTGAAACAAAGTGGAAATTTGTATTTCGTAGCCTTGTCCGACAGATAGTGCAGCTCTTTCTTTTAAAAGATATGGCCTGCATTGATAAACACTCAATGAATTTGTGCATAAACGTGATATGCCGTTTTCCAATTTTTGGTTTTCAGAGCAGCTGCGCACTGGAGATTGGTATACAGCCCTACAAGAACACCAAATGTTAGTGTGTTTTAGTCCTTGTATTATATAGTTGGTGACGTAAACAGAAGATTTTGCTCAAATACTTCATGCGTAAGAGTACTTGTGTGTACAAAAATATCGAAAAAACACAATAAGTTTATAATGGCTAAGACCTTAAGTAGACATGGATTCTGTACTTGAAGAAATCTCATGATGCAGCCTGGATAACCTCTAAAAAAGTAGCATTTTAACGCTTGAAAACTCCATCGTACCATCTTCGATTTTTAACTCCTGAGTATTCCCTCTAGGATTAGTATTAGAGCTTAGCTTGAATAAATGATGAATGAAGCTGATGACCCGGGTTATTTAAGATCTGCGTCATTATCAAGCCACTGCAGTCATCCATATTCCAAGAGGTACAGTGCAAATGCTACCGTGCGATCTCTGTATTATTTCAACCGAAGTTTTTAAACTGATTTAATGTAGCACCTCTGGATGCTTTCTCTTTTCACAACGAAGAGAGGCGGGAAGAATACGGTCTGAAATTGTTTCATGGTTGGTCTTGGAAACTGTTTTCTTACTCCGTTAATTAGCCAGAGGTAGTTTCAAAAAACGTATGTCGGCGGTATTTTTATCATGTGATGGTGAATTTAAATTGAATAATCTATTCAAAGCTGCTAATACATACATAAAATTCACTTTAAAGTGTGAATGAAATTCTGTTTTCATTTCTGAATTTGCCACTAAGCAGATCAGATAACCTTATCCACAGATCTACGTAGAGAAAACCAAAATGAACTATGAGGTTTATCTAATTCCAAAGCTATGCAATTCTTATTAGCAAACGGAATGTTTCATGTTTGCTACGCTCAAGGATACAGTCAATCTCTTATCAAGATGTATAACAACACGTTAGGAACGAAATACCACTTTTGAACACCTCAATATGAACCCATAAACTTACTTGTTTCCATACAGCAACATACTTTTGCTGTGAACAGTAACAAGTTCGTTAACGGATTACTAAATATTGTCCATCTAAGTAGTCCAGAAACGAGAGTTTTAATATGAATACTTCAATTCTTTGAGATCTGCATATATCTCACCCCTCTAGCAAATATCACAGAGGAAGTCTCTAAAATCCCAAAGAAATTCACATGCGAAATTAGAGACTTGACGGAGTATGTGCTAGATTATTTAACACAAAGCCACGTATGGAATGCACTCCAAGAATTTTTACTGCGTCAAACACGATGGAGATATTGTCAAAATTTTCACCAAAGCACATTCAACCATCTTTATCATTCCTAAGCTATAATTTCCAGAGTTCTCCCTCTATTTCTAAACGATTGCGTCATTTATTAGCTAAAGTATCTGTTGTGCAGAAAGCCCATTATGAAGGTGGTAAGCCCCCTTAAGGTCATCTGAGAATAAGAATGATCCATGTCTGAAGCAAGCAGATACGTCATTGATTTAAGTCAGAAATAGTAGTGTCCCACGAACAATGTCCTGATTAAAGCCATCATGGGTGCTTTCAAGAAAGGAAGTGAAGAAATTGTACTTAACAAGGTAAAATTGATTCCTCAGAATACCTGAAACCATCTTAGTAATGAGTCATGAATATCAAAAAAGTAGGGCTGTTCTAGCGAGAGGGGCTTTATCAAAAGCTTTATTGATGTTAAGGTAAAGGAGCTAACAAAGTTAACTCACAATCATGATAAAGTTATTTGCTTGAAGAAATACAAAACACAGAAGATCATTGAGTGAGATTTTAGGAAACCATATCGACGCTAACTAATGAGTTTACTCAATGAGGAGAAAGTTTGAGACCTAGATCAATGACGATTTTCTCTGGTACTTTTGATATGATTGCGCCAGTGTGATTAGGATGATAAGCATATAAGATGCATTTGCAGCCCGATCTGTCCAGCAAAGTTAAAAGTAATCTCTAGAGAGTCAATGTAATAGAAAGTATGGATCGACAGCGCTAATATTTTGAGAAGCGGTAAAGGAATGTAAGGGTTACTAGCCTTGGATAAAGTGGAAGGGATATCAACGCTTCTGGAACTATATGACAGTCTTGAGTTACTTATTCCCCTATGAATAAGAGGGAAAGTGAGAGTTACAGAACATGAAGTAAATGAAACGATGGTCCAGTCGGATGTGTGCTGAGCATACATGGGGATAGTTGAAGTACTTTCATTAGTTGGTGCCCGACCTAGCTCTGGAGCTAAGGTGCGCGGCCTAATTGTGGAACTTCATAATATTCCCCACCAGGATAAGAATAAGTCTATGTCCTTACAAGCCATCTGCGCCAAAACGAACGTCATATTGCCTTTGATGCACCCTTGCCAGCCTAACCCTTAAGCTAGTTTTGATAGTCTATTGAGATCTGAGTAAAGACCACTGATGTTAGTAAAAGAATAATGTCAACATTTAAAGTCATAGTCCACAATTTCTCCGACACTGCGGCGAAGAAAAAACTGAAGACCGTATGTCTGTCGGCACGTGATATATCTTCAGTAGAACCTCAAGTTGTCCACCCTCGTAAAAGTCCCTGTTGATGTTATATTTCTTGGTCTCAGTGAAGCAACGTATAAAGTTCCCTGCTTAGAACTGATGGCAAGATTGAGAAGTTTTGAAATCGAAAGTTAACTGGATGAATAGGATTAAGTACTCCTTCAAAAACAGGAAATAGATAATAAATGTTAACGTGATCAACGGTGCCATGGCTAACAATAGAGAGTGAAGTGGTTGAGTGTGTTGACCACTTCACTAACCTGGGAAGTAGGATCAGCCCTGATGGCTCAGTGGCCGATGAAATCTCTGCACGAATACAAAAGGCTCGATTGACTTTCGCCACCTGTAGCGCTGCCATGATATCCCATTGTCTAATAAGGGTCGAGTGTACTACACAGCAGTCCACTCTGTCCTACTGTATGGCTGTGAAACATGACCATTGAAGGTGGAAGGCATGAGAAGGTTGGCTTCAGGTATTTGACCACCGTTGCCTTCGTAGTATAGGCCGTATTCCGTTGTGTCACCGCGTGAGTAACCCAGAAGTCAGGTGTAGAGTTCAAGGGAGTAGAGGTAAACCAGTTGATACGGTTGTGAACTTTCATCGACTGAGATGTGTTGGGGCATGTGATGCGTATACCTAGCCACCGATGACCTCGTCACACAACATTGGCTGAAGTAGGTTCAGGCTGGTAAAAGGCCCGAGGTGGCCAGACTAAAACATGGCACCAATGGATGAAGTCTCTGACTGTTGATTTGAGCCATGTGGGGCGATGCAGACTAGGTGTTTGGGGTCGGCGAGACATGAGAAACCAGTGGTTGGAGACTCTAGGTGATCACATGGCTCAGAACCGATGTCAGTGGGGCAGATGTAGACACAGACATTATCCTCATCTTAACGACGCTATACCGAATTTCACCACTTTCTCATTCTTCGTTTCTCTTTTCGTACTTTATATTTCTTCTGACTGCATTCTCTTATCTTCATCTTGTGCCTCACTGTCTTTCTACTTGATGTAGTGATATGAGATGTGGCAACTCGGACCGTTACGCAGTAATGCCTGGTCCTAGGTTGATCTGGATGAATGGATGGTGGTCTTGTATTCTTATCAATCTGTAAGAAGTGTTTTATCTCAAGGTATTATTCTGTCGTCTCCCGTTTTACTCTGTTAACGAAATAAAACCAAAAGTTAAGTCATTTTGTCTATGTTTTCCCAGTAATGTTAAACTATGTGTAGCAATAACAGTACACTATCTTTACAAGGCCAAAACACTAGTGGAATGCTGCTGAAAATCAACGCTGACAAGTGTGTTTATGAATACTGATCAGAAAGGTTTGCATGACTACTGGGTTAACGGCACCCTACTGTTTAAGTTTTCTGGGCAAAAGTATTGAGGAGTCATTGTAAGTCATCATCACAACAAACTGGAAAACATCAGCTGCTTATGCTCATTAGTCCTACTGTCCCTTCGTAAAGCCTTCCAATGCTTGTATGGGGATATGTTCCGGGTATTAAATCCGACACATCAGGCCTCATTTGAAATATGGAATCCGAATAGCAAGTCAATTTTTGAAAATGGATTTGATATGCTAGAAAAAGCTCAACCAACGGGTGTTGAAACAATAAAAGGCTTCTGTAAGCCCTCTGGTAGGCCGTGACTAGATCAACTTAAAATCTTCCCAACATGCCACCATCGACTGATAGGAGACCACACACTAGCTTTCCCTATTCTAAGCAATGGTTTGAGTACTGGTCTATGTTGTCTTTTCCTCCTCTCTGGAACTAATTACCTGAGAGGACAGCACATAAAGTCCGGAAACTTCAGTCAAGTGGTCTGTATGTGGGAATACGCTTATCACAGAAATGGTTGACCATCAAAGTTCCCTAGTGGGACACGTAGTTTTGACACTTCGCTGATTCTTTCAGAGTAAGATCAGTCATCCAAGGTACCTAAAACTGAAAGGATTGATATGGAGCTTCGTCCAGCTACCCTCGTTCCTTAAACTGAAAGTGAACTCAAATTGGATCTGATTGTGTGGCTGTCTTCTTGCTGTGAATAGGTCATTTTACATTTTTAATAATTGGAGGTTAATTCGTTTATTGTCTCCAATGTTGAAGTCAGGTTAGGTCACTTTGTAAGAGGAGTCTATCGTCCGTACTTTCGATATCCCCACAAACTATACCGTCAACAAAGAGAAAAATTTTAGGAGACACCTACACAGAAGAATCACCCATATGGATTGGTGGAGAGGACTTCAGTGTGAAGTTTTATTTTCTTGGAAATACCAGAATCTATCTGGAGCTTAGAGAAACGGTTGCACAAATTTGATAGTGGTTAATCGATTAATGTTGAATAATTTCCCATTAGCTTCAATTTTATGGGACATTTGTGGCTAATCCAACCAAAGGCCTTCTAGAAATCGAGGTATATAATATCTTTTCTACCCTGATGAGCAGAAAAGCTAGTTCACTTATCTACTGATTAGTAACATGAACACACTTCCCTAAATCCATACTAGTGGGGATAAAAGAAATGAGTGAATAACAAGCAGTTGCGTAAACCGTCGCAGGTGAATGACCCCGCCATTTTGGAGAGTGTGGATATAACAGTCATAGATAAATGTACCTATGAACACCTAGTGAGCTCGTTGGTAAATAAATAAAAAATATATGTACATTTAAGCACATAGGCATATATACAAGCATGCACATACATATGTTTGCATACATTTAAAAAGGTCAATTATAATGTAACTAACCTGTCTCGAAGTTTGGACCACAAGTGCTTCTCCAAACTTGGAGTTTCTCGTTGCAACTATTTGCTAAAAATAAGCTCTTTGACACCAAATGTAATTACTATCTGCAGGAAAGGAATACTTATATTGAAATTTTCGTTCATTATCGATACCCAGACAATCCGGATGTTAGTTACGAACAATTTTCCGAGGTTACCCTGAATAGTTCATTTACATTTTAATAAAATTACTTGGTCGGAAGATAAATTCCACACTCCCTCTATTTCATCAAACAATTGTTCAACGGGTAGCAAAATTAGACTGTTCCCTTTCATCACTGCTCCACGTAGCCGCAAGTCACGGTAAATCCTAGTAGAATCGTATGATCTTGCTCTTAGGAACAGCTGATGGAATGCAACCTACCTATATATTGTGGCAACATAGTTAAGTATTTTAGAATTATCTATTTCACCCTGAGCGAAAATGAACTCATATCTGATTCCTGAAAATTTTGTTAAAATGACCACTGCTGATGTCTTTCCAATAGCCTTCTTAAAAATAGGCCAATTACTTTTTCTCACTTACTGAGTTGACATTCTTTAAATAAGTACTTGTGAAGCAGCTGAAGCCGATTGCTTAAATAAGCAGAGAGGGTTATTCGAATGAGCTCATCTTACATAGACTGTTTAACTTTAAACCTTTAGATATCCATAGCAATCTCAGGTTAGTGATGTACAATGTCCCTTAGGAACAAGAAAGTTAAATACTGTTAAAAACCACACCCCTGTCTCCGTTATTTCCCTTCACATCTTCCACGCTTTCTAAACTCTTGAAAACTTTTTCTCCCTGTTTGAATAACAAATCGCGCCTTGATACGTCGAAACGAACTTCCCTATCTTGCCACAACATATTAAGCGGAGCGCTGACGCTTTTGAAGCCCCTAAGTTACTAAGACAAATTACATAAACAAATTAAATATTTTTCAGCGCTTGTGAAGTGACAATCAAGATTTTGGCACTAATGAATGTTGTTTTCACACCAACTTTTGACCATGTAGTTCACTTTTAAGCAATATTCGTATCTGCGATGCAGTGAAACACCTTCGCACGTAAATGAGCTGCCAAACACCATGAAATCCCTCATAGTTCTCTACACTGATGATGTAAAAGTCTGGTGACGAATTAGGAACGATGAGGATATACGTGCGCTTCATGCGAACCTAAACACTTTGTTTACTTGGTCCGAGAAGTGGCTGATACCTATGAATGCAGGTGAATGTGTGAGCCTGCACTTAGGGCACATACACACACATACACACCTACGATACTGATGGGACTTCTCTATCGTCAGTACTGACCCACAATGATCCAGGAGTCACAGCGAGTTGTGACTTGAGAATCGCAGCGCATATCAAGCGCTGCTTGAAAAGGGTAGTGATTTTTCACACTCAGCTAGATTCTTGTCATTTTTTATGTTTACACATCAAAGGCTGTTGTATTTTTGCTCTAATCGGAGTGCTATTCAAGTAAAGCGTCACAGGAACTTTTACTGCGTGAATTTCTGTAGTTTCTGCTTCATAGTGAGCCAAAAGTGTCGTAAAAATGCTTGTGGCAGGGCCGGGTGCCACTTTACAGTAGCCTCTGGTGTGCGGTGTAGAGAATGTAAGGGCTGGTTCCACAATAACTGCACAAGCCTCACACTCTTAGCATATAAAAGGTATAGCAATGCGGGAAGTGTCTGGCTTTGGACGTTGTGTTGCTCGGATATTTTCACTTTAGTAGAAGAAGCAAAAACACTTCTAAATACGATGACTAAGAAACTGTCGTCGAAAGTCAAAGCCGATAACTGTGACAGTGATAACGACAAGGCATCCATTGACTTATGGGTTACTGTGCAAAATTTTTGGGACGTCCCACGACAAGCTGTAAGTCGGGTGCGTGGACCACCTACTAGGTTTTCTGATAGCTACTCGGAAAAAACTACACCAGGCAGGATGAAGCGAGTATCCTCTGGGTCTCGCATTCCCAGAGCTCGCAGACCCAGTCTGAAAACCGCCGGCAATAAGACTAGGTCTACTTCAGGCGAAAGAAACAGGAGTGAAGCACTCTCAGTTCCAATGACAGAACCATGCGGGCCGCAGGTCATACCCAGTCCGGCGACCCAATCATTGACGAAAATCACACAGAATTGGATGCAAGTCTGTTCTGAGGCTCTCAATGTCAAGGTCATTGGACTAGGCTTCAGCAAACCTTGCATACCTGGCCCTGAAAAATGGCGGGTAACAGAGCCTAGACGGCGCGCTAAGAAGCCAGTAACGGTGACTGGGCTAGCTATCATCACTACGCAGAGCAAAGACAAAGTAGAGATCCTTGACAAGTCCATAGGACGGAAGGAAGTAGAGACCCAGACCCACCTAAACTTTTCAAAGATGACCTTGGCAAGATGAAAAGTTTGTTAAGTCAGCCTTTACCAGAAAACTTGCCGGGGGTCACCCTACTCAAGATAGATAGAGTATGAAAACAGGAGACAAACATTACCGAAAACAGGTTTCGGATACTTAAAGTCTTGTTCAAGTCAGCAGATGAGGGGAATCGGATCCTGAAGGATGCTCGCAGGCTTCAAGGACCTATTGTTCGTGCGAAAAAATCTGACTCTTGCTGATCGAATCAAAAACGAGGGGCAGAAGCAGAATTAAGATTCAGATAATCGGCTGGAGAGCGAGAAATGAAAGTAGTGGGTTTTCGTGTAGTGAGGTTTCGGCAGCAAATAATGCCTAAGGCTCTATGGACAGGACGGAAACTCATTCAAGTAGTTTTGTTGCTTTGTTCACAAATGCGCGTAGTCTTTCAAACAAGTGGACTGAGCTTAATAATGTGATAAGCTACGAAAGCCCTGACATCACTGCTATCTCAGAAACTTGACTCTCTTCTTGGATCAGTGACTGTGAAACGCACTTACGAGGACTCTTCCCTTTGAAAGTGGCAGGCCAGCATGCAGAGGTGGTGGTGTCATCCTTTACGTTGGGAATAGCCCAACTGCAAAAGCCGCAGAAGCAGTTGCACATGGCAGTGGGACATTTGAAATGCTGCTCTGCCGACTAAAATGCAAGGAGCAAGATGTTGACGTAATCGTAATCTATCGAAGCCCTGAACGTGAAGCAACAGACTTCCTCCTGAGCAAGCTGACCCTCTGGACAGACAAATGCCGATGTCTAGTTGTAGGAGACTTCAACACGCCCTCAGTTGACTCTGACAGACTAATAGCAAAGGCACCACGTAATTTATTTGACCACCGGTTAGTGGAAACACCAATTTCCTTAGCCCTCATACAGCACGTTAGGACACCAACCACATATGATAATCAGCATGCTCCATCAGTTCTAGACTTGGTATTCTCACGAACAGATGATGTATGCCTCGTCCGGCACCTAGCACCCCTTGGCAAAAGTGATCACGCTGTGATCATCTTCAGACTCACAGCAGATGTCTTGTACCACGCCGATGCTTCAGCTAGACCCAACATATGGAAAGCGAATATGGAAGCTACTAACCTGGCAGCCCCTTCGGATGACTGGCCATTCACCCTATAAGCCACAGTTGAAGATGCGTGGTGCCCGTTCAAACAGTTATATGCACGAGTGACCCAAACGTTCATTCCGCGGACTATACCGAGGGGACGGAAACACCGTCCTCCGTGAGCAAACCACGAAATTCGAATCTTGCCACGACGTAAGAAAAAGCGTTGGAGTCTTGCCACCCTGCGTGGTACACCCGAAATGGTGAAGCATTACAAGGAAGCCCGCAGTAAATGTATACCTGCTATCCGCTGGTCTCGAATATGCTTTGAAACACGTCTTGCCCAGGCCGCATTACAACATCCGAAGTGGTTGTTTTCCTACATGAACCATGGAAGTAAGACGTGTCGTGTTGTATCCGCCCTAATCAATGGGACAGAAAATGACCGCTTGATTGAGGACGATGAGGAAAAAGCAGAAGCCATGGCTAGATATTTTGCTGAGGTCTTCACACAGAAATCTGTGGACACTTGTCCAGCAGTGAATGCATCGATACCCAACATAATAAACTCCGAAGGTGTCGATCGTAATGATGTATTTCGGATATTAAGTAATCTCGACATGGAAAAATCAACGGGACCGGATGAGCTGCACCCAAGGCCGTTTAGACAGCTTGCATCCTATGTTGCCGGCCCATTGACCACAATATTCAGACTGCTTCCTGGTGAGGGCACACTCCCCTATGACTAGAAGGGTATTGTAGTAACACCTATCCACAAGGCAAGTTCTAGGCCGCTCCCGCCAACTGACAAATCGATGGGCTGGACTAGCACTGCAGTAAAAATCCTGGAAAGAGTAATCGGAAGCGCCATCACAGACCACCCAGGGACCAATACTCTATCGTCTCGTTCACGGCACGGCTTTTATAGAATTTCCTTTGCTTGATGAACCTTCTTACAGCCAGAGAAAGATGGGTTAAGTCTAAAGATGACAGAATATCTGTAGGTGTCATTTTCATTGACTTTGGTAAGACGTTCGACAAGGTACCTCATTTCTGGTTGCTCAAAAAACTGAAAAGTTTTGGGATCACTGGCAGTCTGCTCGCATAGATAAGAGATTTGCTTGTTGGTAGAGGACAAAGAATCAGGATCAGTTCTCAACTCCCCACTTGGAAGTCGGTAGAGAGTGGGGCACCCCAAGGCACATCCTGGGCCCCCTACTGCTTCTCCCATACGTAAACGAGCTGCCAAACACCATGAAATCCCTCATAGTTCTCTACACTGATGATGTAAAAGTCTGGTGACGAATTAGGAACGATGAGGATATACGTGCGCTTCATGCGAACCTAAACACTTTGTTTACTTGGTCCGAGAAGTGGCTGATACCTATGAATGCAGGTGAATGTGTGAGCCTGCACTTAGGGCACATACACACACGTACACACCTACGATACTGATGGGACTTCTCTATCGTCAGTACTGACCCACAATGATCCAGGAGTCACAGCGAGTTGTGACTCGAAGACCACGGCTCACTATCGATTGGTAGCAGCGTGGAGTTTTAGAACCCTCTGGGCGTTATGTAAGACGTTTACAAAACTACGTGGTGACATGTTCGCCACCTTATACGCATCCTTAGTTACGCCTAAATTGGAAAACTGTGCACAGTCGGCTAATCGTTGTCTGGAAGGTGGCGCAGACCTTCTAGAAAGAGTCCGGAGGCCAGCCACTGGTATGATCCGTGCGACGGCTGGGCTGAGTTATGAAGATGGACTTGAGGAGCTGAATCTCTGCACTTTGTTCTATCGCAGACATAGGGGAAACCTAATGAGGCTGTTCAGGATCCTAAGAAATGACTTCGGACCTGATCCACCTTCTCTTCTCCTTCCCACTGGGTCAGAACACCCTGGAGGACAAAGCAGGAGGCTACAAAAGCAAAGAACTAACATAGTTCCCACAGATTACTGGTTCTCGCGTCGAGTAATCAACGCCTGGAACCGACCCCCAGAGGAAGTGATGTACGTGTCATCAGTTGACTCGTTCAAGCGGGGATCGGACGAGCACAGAAATTTGCTGGAAAATGATCAATATGGGCTCCCAGCTTCCTATCCGCAAACGACAGATCTGAATCTGACTGCGTTTAATTACATAAAACGCAAGAATATCCCCCATCTCAGAGAAATAGGGGACAGCCAGCCCATAATCCTGGACTCAGTATTAGTCCCTTGTGGCTCGTACGGTAAACGAGGTTCGGGGACGGAATCAAACGCTGGGATGTAGTCTAAAATGGCCCACCTGATGCACTCGACATTTTCATCAAGATTGTAAGCGATATTGTGATTTGAGGTGGTGGTGATATGCAAAGTGCTTCTTCCGCCTTTATAAGCAGATTGGCT